CTTGGTGCGTTGTTTGTGGTCTGTGTTTCATACCTCAGAGTGGGTGATGCGTACTCCATTGTAAAAAGCCATCACAGTGTTGGCCTCAGCATCTGTCTTGGCGAAAAGTCCCTGTCCTGCTCCTCTGATTGTAGAGTCTGCCACAAACACTCTGACAAACAGAGGCAGGGGTAAGAAAATGAAATACTGACCACGAACTCAAGAGGAACAATGGGATTGGTCAGGATTCCTATAAAACGTATCTACCTTTGGCTCTCATAAGGATCTGGAAGCAGAGTATGGGTGGCGATACAGGTGGATGTGGATTTGTCATACGAGTACACAGGACCTGTAAAAGAAGATTAGTGGGATTCTTTAACCACAGGCCTTTCTCCATGAAATACAAGTGGAACCATATTAACCAGGGCCAGAGGAAATGACACGAGCATGGGTGGTGGACATCACATGCAAGGCAGCATTGGTTAATGAGTGAAATGTAAAAAAACAAATAAACTTCAATTAGAATGATACCAAAGTGACAGTATTTCCTCTACATATGTCTCAGAACTGTTCAGTCACATTAGCCATCTTATTAAACGGTTGCATCCATGGCTCCTGCTGGCTTTTGGCTCTTGAAACTAGCCTAAATATTAATAGTTGTTGTGTGTTTCTGGACACTGACCAGCTGAGAGAGGAGCAGCACTTAGTGATGATGTAAAGAAGTTAGTGTATAACTTAAAGCAGTTTTAATAAATCCTTTAGAACTTTAAGGGGAAGCTTTCAAGAACATAAGATCAGCTCTTGTAGGTTTTAACACAGTTTCACAATTTGGCTCAACCGAAAACTTTCATATTAGCATACATGAACCGTGAACTTGGTTATATGTTAATCTTCTTAAACCTCGTAGGAGCAGAAAGTAAAGCTGTCCAGGCAGCAAAGGAGAGACTTCCACACAGGAAGTACAAATTATGAAATGGGATGTTTTAGTCTGGTTCATTTGTCAAGCTGGCAAACTATTAAACTGCTAAACAATTTAACAGCTTGCCCGTGCACATGATTGAGGTTTCTATCATTACGTTTCCAGATAATTACATTGTACTGAAACAATCCATGCCATCATGCATTATACCATAACACAGTTTCTTGATAATAAATGTATTATTATTTATTTACATCTATTAATGCTTTAGCCTTTTGCATCTTGAAAATCCAACATAATCAATTTTAGGAAAAGTGCAATTTCTTATTAAATGCATCAACTCCTGAACAAAAGTCTCGACAAACAAATACCAACTCAGCCTAAGTGGACATTCGCATCACTCCTTACTATTGGGGCTGATTTCGAAGCGTGGTCTCCCAGTCTGGTTGGAGATGACAGCAGCAAGTTGGGCCTCAATGAGCTCCCCGTCCACAAAGCTTCCATATAGAGCCGTTCGGCCGTCAGGGTAGATATACGCTACAGAGTCACCAGTCATTTCCCCGTCCTCGTTTACCTCCCCAAACACACAGCCTCTGTCCTAGACGCACCACAGTACACGCCAACATGCACAATACACATGGTTAGAAATACTTCTGCTATGTTCTGTATAAGCAGAAGTTAGACAGTAAGCTGACTCACAGGGTAGTAGACCCAGCATTCCCCACAGCGGTTGTTGTCTTTGTACTGGCCCTTGAACATCAGGTGACCCTCGCCATCGGACTCCTGAGCAGGCCCATTAAGCTCTCCGTCCACATATGTCCCATTGAGGACGCCCCCATCTTCGTAGGTGTACACTCCTTGGCCCTGCAGAGCATCATCTACATAGAACCCCTCTAAAGTGCTGCGGGAGGGAAAAGAAGGACAACTGTAATTAAGATTTTTACATTTAAAGTCTAAATTCAACCTTCAAGGTGAATAGGGCCAGACGAAGGTTATTTATGTCTCCAGTATTTCTTTCTGAGGTTTGTCTAACT